GCCTTCTGGAATAATTCTGATGTATATGCTTCTTCTTCAGTTATTATACCCACATAACAATAGCATCCAAGAACACCCACCAAAAGACTTGAACACCGGACAAGTGTTTCTGAATTTGTAACCTTAAACGGCAAATAAAAATTACATTTCATACACAATTCGGGGACTCTGTTATCTTTCATAAGAGCAAGTTTATGGATGTATTAAGAAACAGAAGTTCAGGCAATTAAGTGAGGTCAGCACAGAGCCATAGTAAGCAGGATTCTCAAGAGAACGGGCGAAGTATCTCCTGATGGCCAAGCACGATGCCGCCTCCTACCAGCAGCACGCGTGGTGCGAGCACAGGCTCCTAAGTATCTGAGGTAGAGGCGAAGGACAGGCCTGTCAGCAAGTAAATGTCTGTAAATCTTAGAACATGAGGAGAAATCTGTCCCATATAAAGACATTAAAGTAACACTTTGAGCTTATGAAGGACAAGAACCTTGACTTATTTGCTTTTTCAAACTCCAGACTAGGAGGGAGCACTCTCCCTAGCAGAAACTGTTTACAAAATTTTGTACAATTATGTAAACATCTGTAAAGAATACACAGAAAAACAAGATTTTTCAGAGTTTTTGTTCTTATAATGGCATTCTAAGATAAAATCCAGAAAACTAAATTACTTTGGAATAAAACTGGATATAATTATGATATAGAAGAATGTCAGCAACTAATAGCAAAATGGATAAAACAGGCACATTTCTTCTTAGTGGTTCCTTGTGCCATTTTTCCTGGTCTACTAAATTCACTCATTTGTATAGTTTCTAGGCTTGTTTTATTCAATGAATATTTTGTCACTTACCATGTAACAAGGCATTGTGGAAGACTGTGGAATATAAGGAGATCATGGCACAGTTCACGAGATATTTGTACATAAAGCATCCATAAATACCATGGTAAAATTGAAAATTTAAGTACTATGAGAATTATTATGGCTGGTATTATAAAGGCATTAGCAAGGATTATAACATATAGACAGACAAGTTCTAGGGTAAGATGGTGGAATGGGAAGCAGAAGCCACAACTACCAGGTAAGTCAGTGGTCCTGGCAACAGACTGGCAGTCCAGGCTCAGGATACGCTGACAGCTCTCGCAAGTCTTAAACCCAGGGCAGGGATTTTGGTGAGACAGTGATTCTTCCTGTGTGACAGACCAGCATTGGGGAAGAAATCCATTTTGTCACTCTATATCCCAGAGAGTTATAGCCTAGTACCATCTTGAGGGGGGGCCTACTGTCTGAGACTAAGCTACTCTAAGGACTTGACAAAAAAGAACTAATTATAAGTTAGGGAGCATGGAACACTCCCCCAAAGTGTCTAAGTGGGACACAGTCAGGAGAGATGGTCATGGGGAGGGGAAGGGTTAGACTGAGACCCACTGAGAAGTCCTGGCAGGGGGAGGGAAGGAATGGTAGTGGCTGGGCCCTACTGCTTGTGTATTACTGCAGAGCCTATGTCAGAAGACTGTTCAGCCTCCAGAACTGCCTCCCTGCTAAGTGTGATTGCTGTAAAGCTCTAAGCCAAGGTCAGGGGATTGCTCTATTTCTCTAGTTTCCTTCCTCCTGAAGTTATTTACTGCTGGGCAAGAGCTAACAGGAAGCAGAGTATCAGAATTCCTTGGTTCTCACCCTCCGATACAGATCTCAATGCTCTGGTTGCTCCCCCAGTGTCCTATGTTCTCAGAGGAAACCCCCTAGATCAGACATTTGCTACTTCCTGGGTGCACAAACTGGAGGATCTGGAGTGAGAGGAAATCTGCCCAGCCCCAGGCTGCAAAGCTCACTGGAGACAGCAGGAGTTTGAGGTGTGCAAAGAAGGGAAGCTTCTAAAAGTAAGCACAGCCATAACACTGACAACTGAACCTTGACTAGTCCAGCCCTCATCCTGCATAAACCACTGGCTTGACACAGTTTTACTGTTACAGTGGTTTATTTTCTCCTCTTTAGGTGATACTGAAGAAACAGGACCAATTGAGCCCTCAAGACAAAACTGCTCGCTAAGAAAACCAAATAAAACTGAAAGAGGTACAGGACCAATTGAGCCCTCAAGACAAAACTGCTCGCTAAGAAAACCAAATAAAACTGAAAGAGGTATCCATAAACCTGGAAACAAAAGACATGAAAAAGCAAGAAAATATGACTCCTCCAAAAGCTAACAGCTCCTCAATAACTGAATATAAAGATAATGAAATGGCCAAATGGCAGACAAAGAATTCAAAAATCCACTTTTAAAAATGACTAAGGACTTCAAAGAGGATTCAAACAAACTGCTGAGTGAAGTAAGGAATCAAGTCAAAATCTGGATGAGGATGTCAGGAACATGGATGAGAAATTCAAGGATACTGAGATTCTGGAGAAAAAAAAAAAAACCAAAAATGTTGAAAATGAAAAACTCAATAAACCAAAAGACAAGGCAGAAAATATCACCAACAGACTAGAGCAAGCAGAAGGGATTGAAGACCAAGTTGAGACAGCATTACATTCAGACAGGAATAAAGAAGAAAAAAACTAAATAACCATGACCATAATAATTCTAGCAAATGATCAAGAGATCAAGCCTAAGAATTCATGGGATAGAAGTAGAAGCCAAAATACAAACAGATGGCATAGAAAATCTATTCAAGAAAATTATAGAAGAAAATTTCTAAAATATAGGGAATGATACGGACAGAAGCCATATAGAATTCCAAATAGACATAACCAGAGAAGAACCTCTCCACATCACATTATAGTCACCATAGTAAGTCTATAAAACAAAGAAAGAATATTGAAAGCTAGAAAAGAAAATGACCAACTTACTTACAAAGGCAAACCAATCAAAATTACATCAGAACTCTCAGCAGAAACCCTAAAAGCAAGGAAAACATGGAATGATATATTTGAAGTCCTCAGAATAAATAACTGTCAACCAAGATTATTATACCGAGCAACGCTATCCTTTAAAGTCCTTCTAAGATGAGCGCAAACTAAAGAAGCTCATGACCACAAAGCCAGTACTACAAGTCATACCTGAAGGAATCCCGTACACAGGTAAGGAAGAAAGGGAGCCACAAACACAAAAGGTCAGGAAAGAATAAATTTTAGGAAAGGAGTACAAAAACAAATTAGAAGGAGGAAAGAATCAAACATGCTCAACTCAGTAAACCAAGAAAGTCCCAAGTGAAGAAAGGGAGAAAGACTAGAACAAACAACAAATGAATCAACTAGGGAAAAAAGCCAACAAAATTACAGGAATCAGAAAGCACCTCTCAATAATTGTAAATATAAATGATCTTAACTCTCAATTAAAAGAAAGATTTGCTAATTACCTTAAAAAAGCAAAACCCAGCTGCAGTCCAGTGGCTCACATCTGTAATCTTAGCTATTCAGAAGGTAGAGATCAGTAGGATCGAGGTTCACAGCAAGCCTGGGCAAATAATTCGGCAAGACCCTATCTTGAAAAATACCTTTCACAAAAAAGGGCTGACGGAGTGGCTTAAGTGATAGGGCTTCTGCCTAGCAAATGTGAGGCCCTGAGTCAAGCCCCTGTATACCAAAAAAAAAAAAAAAAAGCAAGACTCAACTGTTTGTTGTAAGAAACACACTTACTATCAAAGACACACACACACTGAAAGTAAAAGGACTGAAAATTATATACCAAGCAAGTGGAAACTGAAAGCAAGCAGTACTTACTCATAATTGACAAAGTAGACTTCAAGTCAAAATTAATCAGAATTTAAAAAGTCACTGTGTATTAATAAAGGGAACAATTCATAAGGAAGTTAAAACAATTGAAAATTTATAACCACCAAAGTTGGTGAACCCAATTTCAAACAACAAACACTACAGTATGTAAAAAAGGCCAGGTAAGTCCAGAAAAATAGTAATGCTAACTATTACCAATGGAAAGATCCAGATCAAAAAAAAAAAAATCAAAAAGAAACTTCAGAGTTAAAATGTATCATGGAGCAAATGAAAACCATGTCATTTGCTGAAATCCATTTGAGACATCTTCAGAATATTCCATTGAATGGACACAGAATGCAAATTCTTCCCAAGCAACACATGGAACATTCTCTATAGATCACATTCATGTCACAAAGCAAGTCTGAGCAAACACAAGAAAGCTGAAATAATTTCTGGAAACTTATCAGATCAAAATGGAATAAAATTAGACATCAATAGCAAAAGAAACTATACAAATCATAAAAACACATGGAGATTGAACAATATACTTTTGAATGATTAGTGGATCAGTGGAAAAATTTAAAAATTCCTACAATCAATGAAAATAAAATTATGGCCTAAAAGACCTTGTGAGATGCAGCAGAGGCAGTTCTAAGAAGGAAGTTTATAGGTCTGAATGCCTACGTTAAAAAATCAGAAAGAACTCAAATTAGTAACCTAATTATGCACTTCAGGCTCTTAGAAAAACAAGAACAAGTCAAACCCCTAATTAGTGGACAGAAAGAAATAAAGATCAGGGTGGAAATTAATGGAGACTCAAAGAATGATACAAAGACTCAACAGAACAAAACATTGTTTTTTTTTAATAGATTGACAGATCGTTGAACAAACTACCCAAAAGAAGGACAGAAAAGACCCAAGACCCAAATTAATAAAATTAGAGATGAAAAGGGGAATATTACAACAGTTATCAAATTCAGAGGATTACTAGGGAATTGTTAGGAATTTATATCCTAACAATCTGGAAAATCTAGAAGGAATGGATAAATTACTAGACATGTATGAGCTACCAAAATTGAACCAAGAGGATACAAATAACTAAAACAAATCTCTAATGAGCAATGGGATCATATCAGTGATGAAGAGCCTCCTAAGAAAGAAGAGCTGAGGACCAGATGAGTTTACTACAGAGTTATACCAGTACTTTAAAGAAGACTAACATCAATAGTCCTCAACCAAACTCAGTCTACAAAGTCAGTATTACCCTGACACCAAAACTGGATAAGGACACAACAGGGAGGGAAAAAACCTCACAACTACAGACCAATTTCTTTGATGAAGATAGATGAAAAAATTCTCAATAAGTGGCATGCAAATCAAATCCAACAAGACATTAAAAAGATCACACATCATGATCAAGTTGTATTCATTCCACGGATGCAAGGATGGCTTACCATATATAAGTCAAAAAATGTAATACAGCACATAAATACAATCAGGGACAAAAATAACATGAAAATCTCAATAGATACTGAATAAGTTGCTGACAAAATTCAACATCCCTTCATGACAAAAGCCCTGAAGAAATTAGGAAAAGAAGGGACATACTTCAACAAGATAAAGGCTATATACGACAAACCTACAGCCAACATTGTACTAAATGGTGATGAATTGAAATATTTACTCTAAAATCAGGAACAAAACAAGGGTGTCCATTCTCTGTACTCTTTCTCAATACAGTGCTTGAATTCTTAGAACATCAAGGCAAGAGAAAGAAATAAAAAGGACGCAATTAGAAAAAAAGGAAGAAGTCAAATTATTCTTATTTACAGATGATATGATGCTATTACTTAAAAGATCTTAAGACTCACCAAAAAACTCTTAAGACTTTATAAACTCTTTCAGAAAAGTGGCAGGGAACAAAATCAGTAGCTTTTCCATATCAATAATGACAGGTTGAGAAAGAAACCAGAAAAATACCCCCATTCATAATAGCCTCAAAAAGAAAAAGAAAAAGAAAAGAAACAAACAAAATTAACTAAATTGGCAAAAGACCTTTACAATGAAAACTGTAAAAACACTGAAGAAATAAAATGAAGACATCAGAAGATGGAAAGGCCTCCCACATTCTTGGATTGGCAGAATTAATACTGTGAACATGGTTATATTACCAACAGCTATCTATAGATTCAAAGTAATCCCCATGAATATTCCAATGTCATTCTTCACAGAAATAGAAAAATCCTAAAATTAATATGGGAGCACAAAAAAAAAAAAAAACAACCCTGAATATCCAAGGCAATCCTGAGCAAAAGCAGCAATGCTGGAGGTATCATAATGCCTGATTTCAAATTATACAAGAATCACAGTAACAAACACAGCATGGTATCGGCACAAAAACAGACTCATGGATCAACAGAAAGAATACAGAACCCAAAAAAAGAGTCCCTGCAGTTACAGCCTTCTGATTTTTAACAAAGGTACTCAAAACATACACTGCAGAAAAGACAAGTCTTTTCAACAAATGCTACTGGGAAAACTGGATATCCACAGATCGAAGACTAACACTAGATTAATTTCTCTCACTCTGTACAAAAATAAACTCGAGCATGGGGGATGGTTCAAGCAGTAGCCCTGAGTTCAAACCCCAGTACCGCAAAATAACAATTTAAAAATTGAAAATGGATCAAAGACCTGAAAGTAAGACCTGATATTGTAAAACTACCACAGGAAAACATAGAAAAACATTTCAAGATCTAGGTACAGGCAATGACTTTCTGAATAGGACTCCACTAGCTTCAGAAACAAGGAAAAGAATTGACAAATGACTGCAACAGATTAAAAAGCTTGCTGTTGCCACGCCCATGCATGTTTTGCTTTTAAACCAAGCCTATCACCGCCAGTGAGACCCTTCCTTCTCTCATTTCTCCTTCCTAACAGTCCATCAAAGGTTAATCAAATGTAAGCTTTAGTATTTTTTTATCTCACCTCAGATGAGTAATTATTTAGAAGCTGTTCTGATAATTTCAGAAGATAGCGATCCAGCGACTCCTTGAGACTGTGGTGGACAGAAAAACCAAGGCTAGACTGGCACTGCTCGGCAGCACATTCCCTCACGGTGCTTACGAAGTCCATCTTGTCAAAAGTTGTCTGAAGAAACAGTTCTTCCACTTCTGAGAATGAAGGCTCTTCTTTATCTTTTTGGTGTTTTTCACTTCAAGAGAGTGAGATAGTAACAGTAATTGTCATCATCCACTACTTCATAACTCCAAATATTAGAATTATATTACACATACACACTCCAGTATAACATCCAGATCATTCAAATACTGCTAGACAATTAATGGATTATTCATTTAAATATTTCTGTTTTGGGGGCTTTGATACATACTTATAACAAAGTAGCAAATTTACTAAGAGGTAGAGAAAAGAAATACAAGTTACCATTTCAAGTGTAAATTCAGAAAAATACTAAAAAGGAAACATTAATACCAGATATAAATGGTAAAAACCTAACACTGTCATCTTTGATTTTTCCAAAATGTATAATTTTCTTTTATTTTATACCCTCTCGATAGACATTAGAAACTTATGCCAGTGATTTATTTCAATCACAGTGATAAGGATAAGCCTCTGAAGAAATCAATGAGAACAAGTTTTTAGATCTGTTTTTCTTTTCCTTTTCTTTTTTTCAGGTAGGTGATGGGGGGCAGTCCTGGGGTTTGTGTTCAGGGCCTCAAGCTTGGTGAGCAAATGCTCTACCGCTTGAACCACATTCCGAGCACTTTTTTGCTTTGCCTTTACTTATTTTTTTCTAATAGTCTCAAGCTTTTTGCCCCGGGTTGGCCTCAAACCATAATCCTTTTACCTAAGCCTCCCACACAGCTGGGATTACAGCTGTGTGTACACCACCACACCTGGATTGTTTGTTGAGACACAGGGTGTCTCACTAACTTTTTGTCTGGGCTAGCCTCAAATTGCTATCATCCTGATCTCTGCCTCCTGAGCCATGTCCAAGTATCATTGGTTTTTAAATCTAACAAATTTTACTTGACACATAAAAATGGATTATTTCTAATGTACAATGTAAGGCCATTCAGAATTGGCACAATGAATCCCCCTGTACAATTAATATATGCTAATAAAAATGAAGAAAAATGGATTACTTCTAAGAATTCATTTCACATAAATTTTATGCTCCTAATTTCCCACCATAACCAATATTTTCCATTGACACTTGTCATGCTACACTACACAGTATTTTAAAATAGTAATCTTGCCTAAAAGTTGTGATCTTTTTATTTGACCAATTTAGTTTATAATTATTAAGATGCAGCTAAAATCCTGCTAAACTTATCTTTGCAATTAAAGCTACATCTTAAAATATCAAGGAACTCTATTAGATAACATACCATTCTGGCACACTTTGGAAAAAGTTCACTGCAGCTTTACAGTTTTTCATAGTGAGACTCACAAGAATTTTTTCCAGTATGAGATGAGGAAAATTACTATAAAGAAAAATAAAAAGAAAGGCCATAAGATGTTTTTAAAATTCCTTAACATCTATGTGTACCTATAAATCTTGACCACTAAAAGTTGGACCCTAATTAAGACTGTGTTCATCTATACTGAATCTTTTAATATCTGACAGGATATTAAAAAGAATTTAAAAAGGATACATGCTTCTTGGCTATTGTTTCCAATACAGCTTGGAAGCAGAATCGTTTCTAAAATAAGCCAAAGTTTATAAATGAAAGCAAAACCAGAAGTGAAGAGTTCAGCCCCAGTCACTGAGTTCCAATTCCATGTGTGGGAAGAGTAGTGGGCAACCTGCTCTGTCCCCATCTTAGGGCTTAAGTCCTGTTTTTTCTTTCTCCTGTTTTTCTTATCCCATTTATCTAACAAATTTCACTCAGAAGACACTCGAATTACGATTGAGGATTAAAGATCTATGCGAGTCAGATAATGGACCTATTTGTGAACACACAGATGCTTAAAGAATTACATGCATCGGAAAGGGTGATTAACAGGTACTCATTTATAGTTAGGAAACAGAAGTTCTGGTATTCTGATACATAATAGTCTGAGTATAATGACAATGTACTGTGTATGTTTTTTAAAAAAATCAGACAAGATTTTGAATGTGTTCACCATGAAGAAATCATAATTATGAGAAGTTAAACATTGTACAATGAATACAGGTTTTGAAACACATAGTACCCCATAAATACTTACAATTTGTATGAATCAATAAAGAATTTTTAAAAAACTATATATATACACACACACTTCGTGCAGATTCCCCATTCTCACAGTGAGACAATCTTTTATTTCAGAAATGATCCAAGCACAAACACTGATATTGTAAAAGGCAAGAAAATGGTTGGTGCTTTGGGACCAAGTCTGGGAAATTCTGCACTATCGTTATAAGATCTGGTACCAAAAGAGTGGAGGGAGCTTTCACGATGAAACAGGAAGGCTGCAAGTGTGCTAACAAACCAGTTACCTCTGAAGAACTGGAGGTGGCACTGTGGTGTCCTCTAAGTCATCCTCTAACTGACAGAGTAAGAGCCATCTCATTATTGACTCCTTTGAAGAGAAATTTCTATTTACTTCACAGATATTTTGCTCTCTTCCCACTTTTACTGTTTCTGGAAGTACACTGGTGGTCAGTGCCAGAGTCAAACAGCATACTGCAGGACTATAAAGAAACAAAAGGCAATAGTGAGGAGAAAGCTCTCTGAGAGGCGGAGACCTTATCTACCTTAATGTGCCACACAGTGCCTGCAATACTGCAGATGGAGCCGGCCACATGGTCAGCACATACAATTAGTTAACATAGAGTAGTGAAAGAGCCTGGTTACATGAAAGAAGAGTCTCAATTAATAATTATGTCCAATAACACTATACAGTACAACAAAAAAATAAGGTTTATGAATGGCAAATAATTATAAATGACAGTTACAGGAAATTAAACAGAAATTAATCCTGTAAAGAAATTCTTTAAAATTGGCCTTAAAACTCCACATTTGAAACTATTTATGTATTTATTAAGTCTTCTTGGCCAAAGAACAAAAACATCTGAAGTACAAGTCAATCATTAACTGAAGTAACAATCTACAAAAATGATCAAAGATACAGGAGTGTTGATTTGTAAACTGGTACAATGCATGTTCATCCTACCTTGAAGGTTTGCAGGCTGAGCCAGTAAATAACTTCCAAAATTCTCTGTCAACTTCAACCAAACTACCTTGAATAATGGCTCCAAGTAAGCCAAAGTTTTCAGTTTGTATTTGTTCAGAACTTATGCCACGACAGGTAACAGACCAAATTTTAATCCAGAGTTTCAATAAATCTGACTTTTGAGAACTTTCTAGATTTGATTTCTTCCCTTGACACAATGCAACTTCTGTAAGGCATCGTAACACATAGGGTGTGCGTTCCCCATGTCGCTGTTGAGGTAGAAGCTGGTACAGTATCAACAGTAACGGAGACAGCTCATAGGTAGGTAAACTTGCGGGATATTTTGATATTAACTGAGTTGCAATCTGCAACCTAAAAGAAAAAAGAATGAGAATAAGTAATCTGAAAAAATTTTAACTCCATTTACAGGCTAAAAGAAAATGTACAAATATATAACATGCTATCTTAACAATATCCCAACTAAAGCATCACCCTCATAATTTTCTATATTGTTCTCAAAATAAAAGTAGTAAAAGCTGGTAATATTTATTAGGTCCTACTACTTCTTAAAATAGCAAAAAGACTGACAATATTTCAGCTAGCTAGGAAATTTTTTTTTCTCTTACACAAAAATTTTAACAGACAACTAAATTAGTAATATTCTACATTCCCATTCTTGTTTTTTAACTTTTTTTTGTTTGGTGGTAGTAGTGCTGGGGATTGAACCCAGTGCCTTGCACATGCTTGGCAGGCACTCTACCCCTGAGCTATATCCCTAGCTCCATTCCTGCTCTTTAGTCACCAAAAATATTATTCTACAATAGCAAAATAATGAAAACTTACAAAATGGCTTTTCCTTGACGTTAATTCAATTAATTCAATAAGCATTTGCTGTGAACTCTCTAGAATGTGTAGTACTGAAGAACAGGAACCTTATGTTATTCATTGCTATGCCCCTAATGTTTGGCACATAGCAGACATTCAATAAGTTGACTAAATAGCCTGAAATAAGTACCCTAAACTATGTAAAATAAACTTGAGCATCAGCAACTGGCAATAAAATCTATACTTTTCCCTCACAATTATATTTAAACCTTCTACCAACATAGTAAAAATCAATAAATTCATATTACTTAAAACTTCTGGGTTTGTTTCAAGCAAACAGGCTTGAACTGAATAAATTATAAAAATCCTTATCAGACCTCATATTTTACAATACTATGGACTTCTTCAATTTATTTATATCTGTGAATACTATATGAGAATAATTAAGATAAAAATAAGAAAAAATAAGCTATTATCACAGGATAGGTCTAAGTTATTCTTTTATTTCCTCCTAATCTAATTCTATAGGAAGGTGCTATGCATACTAAAATCACTTCCTGTTGAAATATACAATACATTGAATTCCTTAAGGCAGAAAGTACTGGTGCCTACCAGGCAGCCATTCCCTTTCCTCTTTGCTATGTTTAAGAGAGGCCTTGCCTTAGCTTCAATAGAGGAGCCACTAATGGTAACTTCAACATGCCATGGCAATCACATTTCCCTCTGCTAGTAATTGGTTTGGGAGTAGACAAATGACTTAGGTTCCTGACCCGTGCAATGAATTATTCTGCTGGAGGTTTTCTGGGGGAAAATACAGCTAACATGACATAGGATGAGAAAAATCACTTTACCAAGGCACAAGATCAAAATCATTCTGTGACTTCTGAAGGTTATCTTTTATTACTTCCCAGCCTAGTTCTATTTTCCTTCTTTTGCAAGGAACACCGTAATTAGTAGATTGTCTTTGCGTAGTTGTGTAAGACTGAGAAATCTCCAAGGATCTGATATTCTCATTAAAAACCTATAAAACAAAAATAAACCTACTTATTTTACTGCTATCATTTTCTACAAGTTCATTTGGAAAAAATTCCTTCTGAAATGAAGACATGGGGAACTCACAAAGCAAGAGTATTAAGTTATAGAAAACAACACAGTAAGAAACTATCATTTATGACATTCTTAGAAAGCAAATACTATCAAGTAAGGTACTCATTCTATTTCCTGGGGAGATTTACTGAAAGTATCAACAAATCCAAAAATAAAGTAAAAAAATCTATATTTCCAAAGGGAATAAGCTTTAAATCTACTACTAATATTGAAGAGAGTGAAATTACTATCTAGGATGCTGGAAAAAAGTTTTACTTAAGAAACATTAAATGATCACTTGATAAGTGGGGAAGAAAAATGTAATATAACAATACAATCAGATACACAGTCATAAAAAGGAATGAATTACTGATTTGTCATAGAACATTATGCTAAATGAAGGAAGCCAGACACAAAAGACAACATATTATATGATTCCATTTCTATGAAATGTCCAAAATAGGCAAATTCACAGAAATTGGAAGGTGGTTAGTGATTTTGGTTGCCAGAGGCTAACACAAACAGAAAATTGGTACTGAATGCTAATAGATCCATGGTTTCTTTGGGTGGGGACTGGGGGAGGGCAGAAATACTCTGTATTAGAAAGTGGTTATTGGTATTATAACAAAGTAAAAATACTAAAAAACACTGAATTGTAAATGCTAATATATTGAATTTTATGCTACATAAATTCTAGTTCAATTTAAAAAAGAAGAAATATTAGGATTAGAGTTATCTTATTTTCTATAGACAATCTTTTAAGGATGGTAAAATGCTGGCAGAGTCACTCAGGTGGTAGAGCACCTGCCAAGCAAGTGTGAAGCCTTGAGTTCAAACCCCAGTACTGACAAAGGAACAGAAAAAGAATTAAGAATGGTAAAGTTATTTTCATTAAATCCACATGTACAAAAGTTATCTTTTCAATTAAAGGGGAATTCCCTTTAATTCCCATAAGTAACATGTAATTTTATAAGCTTCCTATGATAACAGAGGTTTAAAAAGCCCAGCAAAAGGAAAAATAACAAGAAATTCCAAAACGTGGAACAGATACTATACCTGGTGACAAGTATCTGCCATCAATTCAATCAAATTTTCCTTGACAGCAATATTACGAGATCCCGAAGAGTATTTTCCTCTACTTCCTATATGACTTATCTCATTCACCAGCAGATCATATAAGTTGTATAGGATACTTTGCCATTTTGTTGATTCATAAGCACCTATAATCCAGAAACTTAAGATATAATTTATATGCATACACCATTTACAGCTCTCATTAAATTATCCAGCAGATAAGGTGCAACCTTCTTTTAGTTCTAAAGCCTCTTCTGACAACACTGTTAGAAACTCTACTTCCTAATGGTATCCACTTCACATTCAGATAGCTGTAGCTGCTACAAATTTCTTCCATATTATGATTTTAAATCTGCCCTTTTTCTACTGTGTTCTTTCTCCTAAGGAAAATACAATAAATATGCTCCCTCTTGCACATGTGGAAGAACTTTTCCTTGTCTCTTTGTTTAAAACATTACCAGTTTCTTCAATGAGTGCTTAAATGACATGTTGTCCATTTATAGTGGTTATTCTCATTATCCCAATCATTATTCCAAGACTTACTCCAGTCAATTCATGTCCCTCTTAAAATGTTAGTTTAAAAGTCAGTAGGGTCTCGTGTACATAATAATGCCAACTGTGGTCAGACCAGTATGGGTTATTAATTTCCACACACAAGGCATCATAAGATATATTAATGTAGGCTGAAACCACATGGGCTTTTCTGGCACTTCCATCAGCCTACCAATTTTCAATTCACCCCAAATATGCAGATAACTAAAATCTTAAACACACCACACCATCTCCTAATAAGCTCAATCTTCATCCTGGGAAGAACTAGGTGAAAGATGAAAAACTGAAAAACCACCATTCTTTTGACTTACAGTGGTTTTATGGGCTGGCTATAAACATAGGTATATCTAAATATACACACTGAAAGAGCCCATGAAACACACATAAATACTTTTTAAGGTGGCTACAATAGTTTTCCTCCATTTTAGCTGTTATTACTCAATGTCACAGGCCATCTTCATAAGATTATCATATTCACTATGATGAATTGGTATGAAGACTAGTACAATCCCCAAAGCAATCATAGACAGACCCAGTGAAGTTCAGATCTTTGAAAGAGAACCATACCATCTAAGCAATGTTCTCTAGATAAAAGACAAATAAACACAACAGTATCAAGGAAGACAAGGAATTCATTTCCGATTTTTTCTAGCAACAGGCCTGGAAGTAACTATGAGGTGAAAGACAGCAATCATCCCTCTTTCTACCTTACCTATGAAAGCACTATGTATATAACTTTCTTGGCAACTGAATAATTTGATTGGCTGCTTTCAGTCCATCTACTTTATTTTCTAATAAAGGCAATATGTGGACAGACAAGATTATGCTTTCTACAAATTCTTTTGCTCTATAGTCTGTGCCACTCTTAGTACCTAATTATTGATGCACAATCTGCTCCTTAGAGGGAGCCTGCAATATCTCATATTCCTTTGTATTTCTCATGATACCTGGCATTATACTGAACAAATGGAAAGTGTGATATAATTTATTACTATTTATTCAAATTATAGAAATGCACAAAAAACATTCTTGTGACTAATAACATTATTAAACAGAGAAATCCAGAAGGTCATATTCTTTTACAGAATACTTATGTCATATTTAAGACATTTTGTTTATAGGAAGAAGAAAATTCAAAACAGTAAAAACTTCCTTTATACCTTTTTCATGGGTTTTGGCTCCTTTTGGATGATGGATATAAATTTGCAGCTGAAATAATTCAATAATTACTTCTTTTAAGGAATCATTAAGTCTATGTTGAGTCCAAATGTAGAGTAAGGTAGGAAGAATTTCATCTCCTAATTCACACACTCGAATTCGAAAGTTGACTGCCAAAGTTTTGAGAAAGATAGTAAGGGCTGCTAAGATGTGACTCAGGCCTACAGAGCTCTTTTCTTGCCTGCAAGAGAAAACACACAAACTCAACTTGGTATAACAGGACCATGGGGAAAAAAATCAAATTTTCAAACAATAGTCTTAAATTCAAAACCCATCCAGACAAAGTAAAATCACAGAAGCGCTATACAGCAACAGAAACTTAGTTCTAATTTGGTGCTTGAGAGACTATGGCTAGCTCTCCCTGCTGCTAAAATATTATCCAAAAATAAACAAAACTGATTTGTAATACATACCATTTATAAAATGTCTTACATTATAAACTGGATAATGCCAAACTGGTATCATACATTTGTATAAAATATATATTCTTATTTTATTCTCAACATTCTACATCTATCCTCAAAATGAAGATGAATTACTTGGAGGATATTAACTTTGTCATTGTAGAGCAAGGCAGACTTCCCACTTAAGAATATCCTTTGCCCATTTTGTTTGGTTGGTTTTATTTTTCTGCTGTGTTATGTTTTGAGACAGTGTCTTGCTATATAGCAGGCTTGCCTTGAACTCACAATCTTCTTGCCTCAGCTTCCCAAATTCTGGGATTAAGGCATGTGTTGTCATGCCTAGAATTTTGTCCATTTTTTAAACTGCATTATTTGGTTTGTTTTTGAGTTTTTTAACTTCCTTGTATTACAGATATTAATCCTTTATCAGATGAACAGTTTGTAATTTTTCCCCTTCTGAAATGTGCCTCTTCACTCTGACTTCCTTTGTTGTACAGAAGCTTGTCAGTTTATATAACATAAAATCCCACTTCTCTATTTTTTCTCTTGATGCCTATGCTTTGTAGGTTTTATCCAAAAAAAATCATTGCTTATATCAGTGTCCTAAACTGTTTTCACTTTCATAATTGTAGGTGTTATATTCAGGTCTTTTATCTATTGAGTATTATCTTTGCAAAGGGTAAGAAACAGGAGTCAAGTTTCATACATGTATTGAAAATATCACAGTATCCCATAAATATGCACAATTATTACATGTTAATCAAAAAATTTTAAATGTTTATGGAGATAGAAATGTTAACTACCCTAATTTAATAATTACAAACTGTATACATGGACTGAATTATCACACTGTACCCCACAAATTTGAGCAATTGAAACAACCATTTACTAAAAGGATAGTGCTTTTAGTTACTGAATCTAAAACATGGTCTGGGCAAGAACAATAAATAGATTTTCAATACAAAACAAAACAAAGACATTAGTACCTTGCAGACTGGATAGCCTTGGAAAAAAAGTCCAAAAATTTGGAATTTAATCCGTCCGTTTGTGAGCAACATCCTTTGGTGACAGCATGAATTATTCTAGCCACTAAAACTCTATTAATATCTTGTGAAGGTTGGAGATATAGTCTGAAGTACACAGAAAACAATTCTAAAAACAAAAGAAAAAACTGATTAGCTATTTTTTAAAAAAGAAAAATCAAGGCAAATATGTTCAATGTCACAATTCAACTTAAATATTCCACAACCCCACACTGGCAAAAAGATTAAAAATTGTTTTAATCTCTAATATAATTTATATTTAATAGTCAAAGAACTACATCAGTATTTCATTTCATTTTGTATAAAATGTCTTTAAAGCCAGGTGCTTATGGCTTATGCCTATAATCCTAGTTACTGGGGAGGCTGAGATCAGGAGGATCGTGGTTTGAGGTCAGTCTGAGCAAATAGTTCTTGAAATCTCATCTCCAAAATAACGAGTGCAAAATGGACTGGAAGTGTGGCTCAAGCAGTAATTACCTACTTTGCAAGTTCAAACCCCAGTCCTACCAAAAAGAAAGTCTTTAAAATAGGAACTATAGCAATAGAGTGAGAGAGCATCAGTTTAATAGCCAAGCTACTTCTCCAAGTCTGTGTTCCTTTGCACTTGACAAAGTACACACTACAGTTTGTGGCTTTGTATGAATGCTATTTTATTCATATGTGTAAAGCATGCCATGAAAGGGTCTCAGATTTTACTCTGCTTGTACCATAACAAATAACCTTACAGTTTCATGGATGCTGGCAGAAGACACAAGACTCTCATCAAAGAAAAAAGGAGAGAGTTCATTCCTCACAGCAATGACAGAAAGTAGAGTACCTTCATTTTGCATCAGTACCCCAATTCCAAAAGCAACATGAAGAGTCACTAACAAAGTGAAAACAGCAGGCTGTGTTATAGGAAAGAACCTCAGTCTTTTCATAAATCAATGGGTTGGAAGCAAACCTGTCCATTGTCTAAACAAAGTCATCAACTCTATCTTCCAAGGCTGTTCACTACACAACCATCCTTGAAAAAGAGTCTGGGGAGAAAAAAAAAAGTCAGTGTCTCTGCTTATAAGATGTACACAAGGGTAATAGGCATTGAGAACTATTTCGAAACACAATAAGAAGAAGTTACAGAATTAGGCCTTCATTCCCATTAAGGAGTAAAATAATCCTCAGTAACACAAGTTAGGATCGCAACTATGTGTATCTTCATTTTCCCCTATATATGTCACATGATTCTTCAGAAATGGACAAATGGCTTAAAATTAGACATTAAACACAAGAGAAAGGACAATATAAATACTACAAACATTACATAGTAAGGAAAGCAATTTTTAAAACTATCCCCATCATACTCTCTGTTAGTGTATAAAACTCTAAACAAATGTTTCCAAAAATATTTTCACTGCACAAAATATCAAGACACTGGTAAAAATGTTTTAATTTATACATACAAATTATATGTGAAGAAGGAGGGGGTCTTCTTTACCATTTTCCTCCTTTTACTTGGCAAGGGGAGCAAGGAGAAACAGGAAAAGTCCACACTGTATTGACCCTGATTAAAGCATAGACTTGAGGGCTTTATCTTAGATAAAGGAAATAATCGAAATTCTCACAGAATCCCTCACTCTCTCCTATCACGTAGTAAAAAGGCTGGTATAAGACATTAAACAAAATAGCAGAATAGCAGAATCTAGCTTCTTCAAAAAAGGCAACAGCACACATCTCCAGATGAATTTACTTCCTCCATGAATTCAATAACCAAAAAAGCTCAAAACACAATAGTAAAACAACATGGGAAAAGAGTTTGGGGACCTGAGAAAATAAAACCCCAAATGACAGCATTAAATGTAGATTTCTTGGGATTTTATACACAGACAATCCTGTCATCTGCAAAAAGGAACAGTTTTATTTCTTCCCTTCAAATCTGTATGCTTCTTTTATTTATTATTGCCTAATGGCCCTGGCTAGAACCTCCAGTACAATGTTGAAATGGTATGGAGGAAGCAGATATCCATGCCTTGTTGTCAATTTGTGCTATAAAAGACTTTAAGTTATGGATTCAACCTCTTTAAAAGCTGTAAGACTATTCAGATCATGGACTTCATATCAGGGCTGGCAGTGGCTCAAGTAGTAAACCGCGTATCTAAGAAGCATCAGCCTTGAGTTCAACCTCCAGAACCACCAAAAAAAAGGTAAAGTTTTGATAGTGTGTGGTTTTGAAGAAGTGGTCCGTTTAAATGTTAAGTTAATGTGAAGAGAGTTGCTCACAGTATTCCTTTATTATCATTTAAAATCAATGGGATCTGCAACTTACTCTTTGTTCCTGGTATCAATTATGTGTGCCCTCTCTCTTTTAATCTCAGTCTCTTGCTAAATATTATCAATATTAATGATGTTTTCCAAACATAAGTTTTCTGTTTCATTGATTTTTCTCTTCGATTTTTCTGTGCTCAATTTCACTGATCTCTGATCTTCTACTTTGAAATTTTGGGGGGGAAAGAAGGGGCTTGCTGTTCTTTTCATAGTTTCTTGAGAAGGTGGCTCATATTACTGATTTGACATCCTTTCTTATAATGCAGATTTTAAATGGTATGTATTTCTTTCTCAGCACATCTTTAGCTATGTTCCACATATTTTCATCACTTGTTAAGTTTCATTCTCACCCAGTTCAAAGTCAATACTGACTTGAGACTTTTTCCTTTAATCTATGAGTTATTCAGAAGTGTGACATTTATTTTCACAATAGTATAAAGGAAACATAGCACTGTGGGAGAAAATAAAATGAGAACAGCTAAGTTAGAAAGTGCAACCAGAAGCCAGTCATGGTGGCACAAAGCCTGTAATTCAAGCCAGGTAGGTAAAGCAGCAGGTGGACTGCAAGTTCAAGGCCATCCTGAGCTACATAGCAAGTTCCAGGCAAGCCTACGCAATATAGCTGGACCCTTTCTTGAAAGAAAAAAATAAAGTGCAATCAGAAAATGGCAGGGATATTTAAGCTAAGACCTAGAGAATACAAAGAATTCAGATGTTGGGTGGCATCTGAAGAGAAGAACAAATGACCCCAAGGAAAAAAGCACTCGCACGATATAAGTAAAAATGTATGAGATGACAGAGCAGTGAACAGAAATTAGGATTCCTATCCAAAAAATTAAAATTACAGGTAGAAATTAAGTGTTACTAGTATTTATTATTTTTTGTTTGTTTGTTTTCTAGTTTTGTTAATATTTAAGACAGAAATTGACAATGCCCACCACGGAACACAGTTTGGCAGTTTTTTAGAAAACTAAACAGTTTTATAATACTACCCAGCAATTACACATCTCTGTTTTTACCCACAGAAAATAAAAACAAGTCCAAAGACTTGCAAATAAGTGTTTGTAGCAGCTTTATTCACACTTGCCAAAACACAGAAGCAACCAGATGTATGTTTGGTACATGAGTGAATAAATAAATTGTACGATATCCAGGACACTAATTTTCGCTAATGAAATGAGCTATCAAGCCATGAAAACATACAGAGGAACCATAAATGTTTAATAATAAGAAAAAAAAACAATCTGAAAAGGCTACCTACAGTACAATTAAAAGTATACGACATCTTGGAAAAAACAAAATCATTGGAACAATAACAAGATTAGTGGTTCCCAGGGACTGGAGGTGAGGAATAAATAAGCACAGCACAAGAGAATTTTAAGGCAGTGAAACTATTGTGTATGATACTATCACGAATGCGTGTCATACATTTGTAACACTCATGTACAGCACTGAGGGGCTTAAGTGGCTCATTAACTGTATGCTGGGGAGGGTGCCACATGTGCAGCATTAAGAGGCACATGGAAAATCTTAGTATTCTCCACTCAATTTTGTGGACCTAAAGTTGCTATAGAATGTAAAGTCTTTTTTTAAAAAGCAGGAAACCACTAGGTTAGAAAAACCAAATGACTGCCAGTGTAGCTGGATACAGAAATTAAAAGGATGGAGGTTATCTTTAGTTAAGTCAGACAGGTAGGCAAGGCTTTCAAAGCCTAGAAAAGGAATCTATATTTTACAGTGGTTATACAGACAAGCTACTGAATGCATCTCAGTTTCCTTCCTCCTCTATTTAAAAAGCTATCATCTTCCTTGGGTCAAGCCTAGGATCTTGCTTTGGTACCCTTTCTACTCAGGAAATAAACGTATTTTCTGGTATATTCCACCACAATCTCCACTGAATCCTTCTGGTAACTTTTTTTGGTTTTTTTTTTTTTTTTTTTTGGCAGTACTGGGGTTAGAACTCAGGGATTCATGCTTGATAGGCAGGTGCTCTACCACTTGAGCCACTCCTTCAGCCATGATAAAATTTATGTGACTTTTTGTGGCTCTGATTAAATACCTGAGAAAACAACCGAAAGGAGGAAAGATTTACTTGGATTTACAGTTTCAGAAATTTCAGTCCATCATGGTGGGGAAGGCATAGCAAATGGGGCAGTTCACCTCATGGCAGCCTGGAAGCAGAAAGCCCACTAGTGCACTAGTGGGCTTTCTTTTCTCCCTTTTATTCCATCTGGCCCCCTACCCATTCTGGCCACCCTCATTCAGAGCAGATCTTCCCCCTTTATCGTCTCTGGAAATACTCTTGCAGCATACCCAGAGGTGTTTTTTATTAATCTTGGAGTCATCTCTCAATCCAATCAGGTTGATTACTAAGCACAATCAATATAGTCAGGCATAGTGGCTCACTCAGGTAATCCTAGCTACTCAGGAGGCAGAGAACAGAATGATCACAGTTCAAGGCCAGTCAGACCAAAAAGTCCAAAAGACCCCAATCCCAAATAAAGCAAAGCTGGGTGGGTAGGGTGGTGCATGCCTGTCATCCCAGCCATGCAGAAAGCATAAATAGAAGGATCATAGCCCAGGCAAGCCGAGAATAAACACAATAGTCTACTTGAAAAATAACTAAAGCAAACAGGGCTAGGGCATGGCTCAAGTGACTTAAAAAAAAAAAAAGAACCATCACATATATATTCCAGTCACTCTCACGTGAACAGATTCTTCTTTCTCCTTCCAGAGAACCAGAGCTTCTCCATGTGTTGTCTGTATCCGCTAATTCTTTTTATCACTGACACCCATGGTCTCACAACAGTCTGTCATAAAATCAACTCTAATTGCTATTTATAGAAGAATCAACCATAGATACACATTGTTTAAAAATATACCTAGAACAATTATCATAGTTCATCAGCAAACCTTAACAATTTTAAATAATTTAGACCTCTATAAGTACATTCTGACTACAGTGCAATTAGAATAGAAAGCATAAAAGAAAATACAAGAGAAATGCCCCTCCAAAATGATTAGAAATTAAACAACACACTTTCAAATAGTCCATGGGTCAAAGGAAAACTAAACTTGCCAGATATGGTGGCTCACGCCTATAATCCTAGCTACTCAGGAAGCAGAGATCAGGAGGATCACAGTTCGAAGACAGCCCAGGGATATAGCTCATGAGACCTTATCTGGAAAACACCCAACATGAAACAGGGCTAGCAGAATGGCTTAAGTGGGAAAGCACCCGCCTAGCAAGCATGAGGCCCTGAGTTCAAACTCAAGTACCACCAAGAAAAAAACAAAAGAATTTTCTGGCCCCCCAGACTCTCTGGTAACATAATAAAATGTACAAACACCATGATAAAAACAAATTACCAACCAAAGTCACTGAAAAAGAAAAACATAATCTAAATAATCCTTTATCAGTTAAAGAAAATGAATTAATAGCTCAAACACTCCAATTTCAAAAACTCCAAATTTAATCCAGTAGTATATTAAAACAAAACAAAACAAACAAACAAACAAAAACCATGAAGCTAAGGCCCTAGTGGAGCATATCCTGGGATCTCAAGGCTAATGTAATCTTTGAAAAATATATTACTATAATTCACCAGATTGATGATAAAAAAAAATCAGGTTATCATTTCAATACATGTAAGCAAAGATTTTAAACTCAACATCCATTCATAATTTAAAAACAAAAAAAAGACCTACCAGCAATCAGGAAGAGAAGAGTATTCCCTCAACCTACACTGACAGCTGATATCATGCTTAATGGTCAAACACTGAGTGTTTCCCTTATGATCAGGAACAAGGCAAGGTTGTCTGCTCTCATCACTGTACTAAAAATCTAGAGGTAAAAGGATAAAATTCAAAAGAAAACAGAGGGGAAGAGCTTTATAATATTAGATTTGACAATGTTTTCTTTGATATGACACCAAAAGTTAAGGCAACAAAAGAAAAAATAGATTAACTGTATTTCTTCAAATTAATAGCTTTTGTGCATCAAGGGACAGTATCACTAGAAAAGACAACCCATGGAATAAAAGAAAATAATTTCAAACCAAATATCTGGTTTGAAAAAAGTAATACCCATAATATACATGTATTTCTTAAAAAGTACAACTTTATACCAACAAAAAAACTGATGACAATATGAAGGAAATTGTTGATAATGGGGGAGACTATGCATGGGTTGAGGAAGTTAGGGAATATGTATCAGACAGCTCTGCACCTTCTTCTCAGTTTTGCCGTGACCCTAAAATTACTCTTAACACAAAAAAAAAAGTGCAAAGAACTCGAATGAACATTTCTCTTCAGAGAAGAGCTACAAATAGCTATCAGATACACGAGAAGACCAATATCACTGTTCATTCAGGAAATGCAAATGAAAACCAAAAGAAACACTTCATAGCCACTGTTCAAAAAAAAAACCAAACTAAAACAAATATAAAATAAGGGCAATTGAAGATGTGAAGAAATTGGAACCCTTGTGTATTGCTAATAGGAATGTCAAAGGTTCAAGCCCAGTGGAAAACAGTAACTTGGTACCCAAAAAATTAAATATAGAATTATCTTAAGATTCAACAATGCTAATTCTGAATATATACCCAAAAAAATGAAAAGCAGGAAACTGAAGAGATATTTGTATACCCAAGTTCCAGCATTTCACAACAGCCAAAAAGTAGAAATAAGTGTTCACAGATGGATAAATGAATAAACAAAATGTTGCATATACATAAAATAGAATACTACTCTGCTTTAAATAAGAAGCAAATTATTCTGAGCCAAGCTAACACATGAATGAGCCTCAGACATTTTGATAAATGTACTAAGGCAGCTGCAAAAAGATAAATGCCGATTCTCCTTGTGAGCTTCTATGTTCAGGTAGCTGTAACAACCTATTTTTCACATTTCTGGGGACTAGAAGTGAGAGGGGTGTGCCAGCACAATGCCATTGTGGTAAGGACCTCTTTTGGGTGCAAACTGCTGACTTGGAGCTGTATCCTCCCCTGCAGAAAGGGAGATCTGTTGTCTTACAAAGGCACTATTCCCAGTCATGGGGCTGAACCTTCATGACCAAATGTGACAGCTCCAAATATACTGCATCTGTGTATGAAGATGGCATAACCAAATGCACTGAAAGGTGTTAAATAAAAAGGGATAGGAGGGAAAGGATAAAGGAGAGTAATACAGAGGGTCAATCTGATTAAAATACAATACACTTAGGGAGAAATACTATGATGAAATCCTTTTGAATAATGAAGGACATTGTTCTTCAAATCCTTTTAAAAATTTAAGGACAAAAAAGTAAAACAGGTCCTGTTATGGGGTGGATCTTACAGGGAGGGGAGAAGGTGAATAGAGAGGGTGAAGGGAGGTGAATACCTTTGATGTACTAAAGTATGTATAAAAACAGAACAATGAAATCTGTTGAAATCATTTTAAGTAGCAGGGAGGGTGGTAAAGGAGAATGATGGTGGAAGTGAATCCCACCAAAGTATATTGTAAGCACATATGGAAATATCACAATGTAATAGCCCTGTACAACTAATATATGCCAATAAAAATATTTTTTATTAAATGCTTTAAAGAGATCTGGTTGAGTATTCCAAATATCACTGGCTTATTATTCAAAAGCTAGGCACGCTGAGGGCCGTGTTTGGGACACAACCTGCTGTGTTCAAAGCAACAGCAATGGCTCCAAAGGACATCTAAGAAATTATTCCAACAGCTGAGAAAGCCTCTATTCACATGAGAAAAATAGAGCGTAATGCAGAAGTGAGGTCACTGATTAATTCATAGGTTTTAGTTTATAACTTCATTTAGACATGATATAAAAAAAAAAACACAAGATATCTACCACATTCCTTTGAACTTGAACTTCTCTTGCTGCTTTTACTTTTATGACAGTTTTCTTTCGGTTTTCTCTTATCTACTATACTCATGGTTCAGGCTCAAGTGTCACTGTTCTGTGTACCCACTGAACCCAAACATTGTATCATATGGCATTACAATTTTTAGTCTACTTAGTGATTTTTCCATCACTAGACTGTTGATTCCTTGAAGACAGGGAAGAAATCTTTCAAATCTGTATTTCCAGTTCCAAAGCTAAGCACCTAATATATTATTAGTGACTTAATAAATCGAACTAATATATAATAACTGAAAATTAAGGATCAGATTCTGTAGCCATATAATGCCACTAAAGTAAAGTTAAACTGTGACATCATTTGAGGAATACAGACAGACACTGACTGCTTTTATTGGTGAAATTTCATTTTACAAGGAAAAAATTCAAACAACCTTCAAAACATACCCAGCCACTGTTGTTGAGATATTTCACACCAGTATTTTCTTACTGAAAGAATGTCTTTGAGTAGTATGTTGCTACAATCAGCTCCATAAATAACACCATTAGATGAATTTTTCACTGTATCCATGATGTAATTCAAGAGTTCTGGACATTTTAGCCTAGGTGCTCCTATTTAAAAATAAAACAAAGAAATAAAAACAACAAAAAAAGAAAAGTTAGCCCTTAAAAAAATAAAATAAAATAAAAACATATGAATCTTAACAAAAATAAAGAACACTTAGAATGATACCTTCTTAAATAACTCCAACTGAGAAATTATTATTTATTTATTTTTTTTTGGTGGTACTGAGGTTTGAATTCAGGGCTTTCCTTCCTTGCTAGGCAGGTGCTCTACCACTTGAATCATGCCTCCAGCCCTGGGAAATTTTTCTTAACTACTCTCCATCTCATAAAGTAGGGATTAACAAATTATGGCCTCTGAGCAAAATACAGCCAGTTGCCCCTTTTGTAAATAGTTTTTATTAGAATAGTTATGTTATGCATTTACTATTGTGTATGGCTGCTTTTCTGCCAAAATAGCAGAACTGAATAACTGAGATGGAAAAATATATGACCTACAAAGTCAAAAACACTCATTATCTGGCTTCTTTACAAATAAACTTTGTTACCCCCTGTAGGAAAATACATCTAAAACAATCAACCATTTTATATTTAATAATTCACAATTTCTGGCATTATATTTAAAATGTCCAAAGTTTCATGGCACTCTTAGGAAGAATCTTAAGATTAAATACAGTCTATTTCACCTGAATTCCCAAACCCTGTAACAACACAAAAACATACAAATATGTAAGGCTGTAATTTTAACAGCATGTTATTTATTTGACATTCTGAAAATTCAGCAACAGATATATTTTCCTGAAGGAATTAAAATTACATTTTAAAAATTTTTAATTCTTATTTTCATCAAATTATATTGATGTCACAGCTAAAATGTTATTATTCTATTACATTATTGACTTAATCTTGAAATTGAATAGACAACTTCTATGCTATGAGCAGAGTAAAACTCATTATGTACATTTGAATATATTCTAGATTAGGATTTTCTTTACAATGACACTAATTATATTTAGAAGTATCAGATATGGTAAATAATTTTACATGAACATTATTGCAAATCATTTTTACTACGGCATTGTTCATGATTTTAGGCATCTGGCCACTGGCCAATGATGAAATATACAACCAGATATCTTCTTCTACTAAACCCTTTGAATCTCTCTTACTTCTTGTACCATTTTCTTATCTACAGTGTTCACTGTATAACTAGATCCTTACAGAAAGGTGTTATTCTTTATATCCCCTGTAACTACCCCATTACTGCCCCAATAGTAGATGCTTAATAAAAATTTGTTGAGCAACTACACAAATATTAGCATGAAATCATTATTTTTCTATGTCCTTTATCCCCATATAGTCCCTTCCTCTGCCAAACTTCAGAAATGTTTTAAGGACTATGCTGCCATTTTCCCCTCCTTAAAAAATGTCTTTGAGAGAGGGTTCAGCAAAGTGCTAGAATGCCTAGCATGCATGTGGGTTCAATCCCCAGATTGGGTGGGGGGAGAACAAAACAAAAACTCTTTTAAAAGGACAACTAAATTGTCTGCAGAGACCTTAAAGAACCTCATGGAACTTAATTTTCACAGCTGGGTTTTCTGTTCTCTAGGGTCTATTCTTTATGCAAAAGCAGACAAATGCTAACAAAAAGGAATGGATGATACTTGCTTACTGGTTTCTTTCTATCTGCCTTTACCCTCATTTTTTCTAACGTCTGTTTCTTTTATTCTAAATTGGACAGCAAAGCTAGGGAAGTCTGACAAAATCATGACATGTGTTTAAATGTCCAACGCTCCTTCAACTTTGTGGGAGAAAAAAATGAAAAGGTGAGGTAAGATGATAATAGCTCCCTAGTTTTACCCTCAGTTTGAAGAGGTTTACATTACAAAGACCAACTTAAAAAGAAAAGCAAACCTTAAATAAAAACAGCACTTTCTAGTTACTAAAATGATCTTGCATTGATAATTTTACTTACTTGTAAAACACATAGTGGTACATTTTCAAATGTGATCGAATTACTAGTTGTGAAACTGAAGGCTTTTGCTCACTTCCAGGAAAAACTGCAAGCTATAAATATTTTTTTGGAGTACTACAAAATTACCATAGCATCCTTTTAATCAGTCAGTACACATTAAAATCTCAACTAGTAGCAAAGAATAGGATACTTAACTGGCTACAGGCTACTACACCAAGCAAAGGAAAGTACAGAGTATTCAGAGTAGATTTCCTTTTAATCTGCTGGAGTCCCTGGCAAGAGCTTACTAACTGTCCACATAAAATGACACCTCAGAAAAGGTGAAGATTTTTCTAAGCCACTGTCTGTAGACTCAAATATCCAACCATTCTTCTCTAGCAATATACGACTTCCTCTAAATGTTTACCAGCTTCTGGGTTCTCCTCATTCTTTTATTCTTTTGTTTTGCAGTCCTGGGAATTAAACTCAGGGCCTCACACTTCCTAGGCAAGTGCTCTATCACTTGAACCACACCCCCAGTCCAAGGGTTTTTATTCTTCCCCTAAAGTTGGCATACAAAGCTACATCCTTGTCTGCAAAGAGTAGACAAAAGTCTAACCTCAGAAGCCCCTAAATAAATGTTTTTTCTTCTAGCTTTCAGCCTTGTATTAAGCCCATTTCCTTATAAAGCTTACTAGAATCCTGCATGTTGGTTCAAAGATACCAATTATTAAAATAGCAACTATAGGAAATAGAGGTATAGATCAGTGGCAAGCAGAGTGCTTGCCCAGTCCAGTCCTGAGTTTGATGTTGAGAATCAGGAGAAAAAAAAATATGTATGTACATGTACATATATATATATATATATTCAACAATACAAGTTTAAGATGGCAGATATGTAGGTTACTGATAGAAAAAAGGATTTATTTTTTTGGTTTTTTTTTTTTTTTTAATTCTTAAATGAGAGTAAGCACAATATGAGCAAAGGGTATATTTTGACTGCTGGGAAAGTTAATGTGATCTTAGAACGAATCAGTAAAAGTAAAGAACAAAAGATATGTTAAGTTCTGCTCTACTCTGTACCAATCAGAATATACATAAAAGACTGAGTGCCACACTTTTAAGAGATATAATTAAATTGAAGAACATCCATGGCCTGGTGGAGTGGCTCAAGTGGTAGAGTACTTGACTGGCAAACATGAGGCTCTGAGTTCAACCCCCAGCACCACCAAAAAAATATTCAGAAGAGAGTACAATAAAACTATGCCTTATGAGCTGAAGGAAGAAGGTCTGCCTACTTAGAGAAGAGTACTCAGGGGAAATATGAGTATTTTCAAAATATCTCAAAGACTGTCACATTGAAAAAAATGATTAAGTTTTTCTGTGTATAATCTCAGTAAGTAGAAGCAGTAACAAAGGAAGACAGGGCTGAAATATTCTTAAAGCTGTTCAGACAGAAAAGAAAGCCTCAAAAGGTATGTTCAGTCACTAAGGCTGTATTTTCCAGCTACATGGGAGGCTGAGATGGGAGGATTGTGGTTCAAGGCCAACGCAGGCAAAAGCTGGTGAAAGACTGTCTCAAAAAACAAGCTGGGCATTGTGCAGCACACCTGTCATCCCAGATACAAGGGAGGTGGACAAAGCAAGATCACAGGCCTAAGCCCCAGGCAGAAAGTATAAGACCCTACCTGAATGACAAGCTAAAGCAAAAAAGGACTGGAGGTATGACTCAAGTGCTTGCCTCACATGTACTAGGCCCTGAACTGAAGCCCCAGTACCACCAAAAAAAAGACTGTATTTTCTACATAAGTGCTAGGGACATACATATGGGATCCAAGAAACGTTAGTGTTTAATCTTTTCCTTTCTGAGATTCTGTCATTTGTTCTTACATAAAGTCCCTTGACAACTTGAACCTACAGTATTAAAAAGTCATTGTATATACTAGAAATTACAGTTAGTACTCAACTTTTAGGTTACCATATTCAGATCAAGCTTATGCTATTATAACCTATTAAACCACTTATTTATAATATATAAGGTCACTTACTTTTATTTGCACATTTGATGAAGTATCTGACCAAACTACTGATTTCTTGCATCTTTTTCTGTCTGGAGGTTTGTGTTGAAGCTGATACATTTGGTTTTGCTGTTCTTAGACATTCTGTTTCTTTCTGAATATATTTCTGTAAAAATCTTCAAGAAAACAAATTAGAATTTCAGAAAGTAACTAATGGTCAAATTTTTATAATTGCAAAAAGTCCTCCATGCCATTACAAAGAGCATCTTTTAAACCACATTGCTTTGTTCACGTACCAACTAAATAAAACATCTTTTATTCAAGACTTAACTCCTATGACACCAATATAAAGTCTAGCCTGCAAAGCTCTTTAACTGTTTGATGCCTGCATTGTCATTTCACCATTAAAAAGATATGATTGTTATAGGGGCTCTCAACCTTCCTTACACCTTTCCTCAGCAGCTGGTTATGTTTCTAGCCTTTAAATGAGGCCTGCCTAGGAAATATCCATAACTAGCCTACAAATTTTGCCTACCTACCTAGTCAGCTTATACAAAACAGTATTCTTCTTTAGGCACTAACTGAATTTCTGGTATCTACAATAAACCAAGTAAACAGAGAAAAAGGAGCAGGCATTTTTATATCATCTACATTCAGATCTGTAAGTCAGGCTGTTAAAGAATAAAATAACTTATCTGTTCAAATCCTGAAGGACAACTAAATGTTCCTACTTCCTCTTGACTACAAATACTATTTTCTTGTCTACTTTTGATTTTCCTTTTTGTTGTTTTGTTCTTTTGAGACATGGTCTCATTAGATGACAGACCAGGCTGGCCTGGAACCTACTACATAGCCCAATTTCACCTTCAACCTGTGGTTCTGCCTCAGTTCCCAAGTGCTGGGATTATAGGCATGTAACACCCCACCCAGCTTCCTTCTCAGTCTTGACTGATGTCTAAGGCATTCTGTTTAACAAATAATTCATCATTTCAAGCATTCTACACATAGTTTAAAAACTGTGTTTTGAATAATTATGAAATGTCAACTTCATATGCAAGACACAATAATATACTAAGCAAAGATAAAGACTTATAAAAATACTATCACAACAGAAATAAAAAAGAAAGTCAGTAAAAAAAAAAACTTAGAACAGAATACCTAAAAACAGCGTCCCAATTCAAATATTTCCCTAGTCTGGAATCCGAATGCCTATCTAAATGTTGAACTGTTTCAGGATCCCGAATCAACCGTTTAAATTTCTCAACTTCTTTCTGAAAATAAAAAATGAACATAATAATGTGTTACCAGTCACACATTTGTTTCATGGAAAAATTAAACTTAAATAATTTACTACCCTTCGTTCTGTAGCTCGATCATTTTCTAGTTGCCGGCAGCAAATAAGCAGATCATTAAGTGCTAGACTCATGGCTCAGGATTTCAGAACACACATTGTTATCTGTAGAAAAAAAAGTAGCAACATAATTATTTATTTATTGACTGATTGGTTGTAGGAACTGGTCGAAAGCCTTATGCATGCTAAGCTACCACTGAGTTATACTCTTAGCCTATATATAATTATTTTAGACTGTGGCATTGATACGTAGTTAGATTTAACTGCATAACCAGTGGCACACTGTGATCAAAAACACAACAATTTTTCTAAACATTTCCATATGAGATTTTCTTTGACTATGCTCCAACATTCAAAACTGTGCTTCGTTTGCAATAGCAGGATAAAGAAAACTATTTCCTTTTTTTTTTTTTTTTGGTGGGACTGAGGTTTTAACTCAGGGGTTTGAGCTTGCAAAGCAGGCACTCTACCATTTACACCATGCCTCCAGTTCACTTTTTCTCTGGTTATTTTGGAGATGGGGTCTTGTGGACTATTAGCCCAGGTTGGCCTCAAACTGTGATCCTCCCAATCTGAGCCTCCCAAATAGCTAAGATAACAGGCATGAACAACTGGCACCCAGCAAGAAAAACATGATTTTAAAAAATGAAACAACTCAGTATTATCTACATAAACAGAAGATGTTCATTGATACATGCAGACAGTATTTTTGTGGCACCTGCTGTGTTTAAGGTACTACATTAGGGATAGCTAGACAAAAAATGTACTAAATTGACAAATGGGGGGATAGTGACAAATAAACAAGTACATGATTTCTCAGTGCACAATTCCAAACAGTGATACATGTCCCAAAAGAAACAAAAATACAATATAAAGTAACAGGGCAATTTCAGTAAAATTTATTAGATAAATTGTCAGACAAGGTATCTCAAAGGAAGTCATGGTAATGTCCACGTCTGAATGAAGAGGTGCCAATGATATAGTAACAGCTAAAGGCTCAACATTTCAGGAAGGAGACTAGCAAGCCAAAGAGTCCTAAGATGGAAAAGAGTGTATCATATGTTAGAGAAACTCAAAGAAGGCCAGAAGAACTACAAAGTAGTTAACTTGCACAAGAGACCTAAGATGAACTCAATTTAGATATTAAAATAGACTATATTCCACTCCCAACTTCAACTGATCCACAGAGTTCCTAAATAACAGCCTCTGAATTGACAATTCCAGTGTTTCTTTTGAGTGTTCACCAAGTTGATCTCTTTGCGGATTTGACAATCACGACTATTTCCCATCGTCCTTGAGATACCTAGGCCCTTAGCATACTATTGTTGCAGTTAAAGAGTACATGCTCTGTAGTCAGACTATATTGGTTCAAATCCTGGTCCAGCCACTTTAAAACTTTACAACCTAGAGCAAATTAATCATTTCAAACCTGTTTTCCCAATGATAAAATCAAATACAACACTATTATGTTTACCACAACGCCCGAAGCACAGCAAATGTTCAATGTTAGCAATGTTACACCTCCTTATTTTATAGCTATTTCATAAGTCTCTTTTGATTGCTCTTCTTCCACTTACACCTCAAAGAACACCCTTGTCTCCTTGCTCTCATCCATCTCTAGGACTTCTTCAATACGCTCAACACTCCAAAAATCGTTTTCATTCCGTTTCAGATCTCACTCTTGAGATTCAAGAAGCTTATACACTTTCTGCCTTTGCACTGCATTTTTCTTCCTGCCTGGACAGCTCCTGCCATCCTGCAGAACAATTTACACACTTCGAAGTCTCGCTGCAAAACGACTCTCCACAAAACCTGGTAACTCCTGGACTAACACAGTATTCTATCAGACTATCACTCTGAAATATAGCTGGCTTTCTACTTATCTGCACCTGAAAAATAAATTAGCAGGCAAGGCTCATGAATGCTCACCACAGTCAAGCACTGTCACTCATCTTTACTGGGAACACAGCACAAGAGGTCACACGGCTAACAATCGGAATTGGAACTCTGGTATTGTGACTAGAGTCCAAGTTCCTAGCCACGAGGCTGCAAGTCAAATAAATAATTCGTCACTTTTTTTTTTCCCGAGAGATAAATCTGAAACTTCAGGTGACAGGAAAATGGGACGGGCAAAAGGGTGGGTTATTTAAAGCGGGTTCATAAAGTCCATTAGGGGCTCAGACCAAGGCAGGTAGAGAGCGATGAGGACCGACAGCTGGGAGGATGGGGTGAAAAAAGCAGTGTAGGGCCACTCCAGGGTGCTGAGTGCGCGTTTGGGGGCGACAAAAGACTCGTCAGCGAATTTTCCCCCCCGCAGAAATCACTACGTTGCTTCCGCGTCCCTACCGCTGCAGTCCGATGGTCAAAATGGAATCTCTGGAGACGGCAGTAGCGGTAGCTCAGACCCCTACTCTCCTCGCCTCTAGTGGCGGCCACAGCTTAACAGCGCATAACCTAAACACCCGTTCCCGCTTCCGGCTCAAACATAGCGTCAACGCGCAGCGTGCGTCTCAGGAGGAAGAAGTCAGGCAGAGCGACGCGGCACGGTCCACGCATGCGCAAAAAACCACACGCGCGCGCCAGCGCGCTCTCTCTCGAAAAACACTCGCTCCCCTCCCCCAAAAAACATTCCGCCCCGTCCGAGGAACTGCGCCTGCGCCCTGCCCGCCAATGGCAAGCAACCTCTAGCCATCGGGCTCCGCCTCCCGCACCCCGCCTACTCGCCCCCTTTAGCTCCAAGCCTGCAACTATACGAACGGAAATGACGATGGCTCCGAGGAGAACGGAGGCGGGTTTCATTTCGGCGCCTTTCTTTCTTCCGCGGAAGTGGTTGGTTGGCGTGCAACCAAAGAGGCGGGACAAATTGCCGCGGGTTCAGTGCCGCCAGTGGAATCGGGAGATGCGGCGCAGGAGCCGCCGCGGTGTTTGCGTCCGCCTGGCTCTCCTCTCCCCCTGGGGTTCCTTCTACGCCTTGGAAAATGTTGTTACCGTCCGACGTGGCCCGGCTGGTGTTGGGTAAGGGCGGACACGCGAGGGAGGGAGTTGGGACCAGGCTGCGCTGGACGGAAGGACCTTTGGAGCCAAAGGTTTTCCCTGGGTGGGGAAGCTTTGGGGTTTCGCCCCCTCGCTTACAAGTTGCGGCTGGCGGCGGTTCTGCGTCGTGCGGGGGCTCTGGGCGGGTGCAGTCCCTTGTGGGAGGATGATGCTCGCAGAGCTGCGTGGGGAGAACACGGGTCGCGTGGGGGCACCCGGGCCTGGCGCCGAGGCACCGTCAGGCCTGCGCACTGAATTGGGACCCCTGAAAGAGTTTGTGTACGAGCGGGACGGGCTGCGGGTTCCTCATCTTTGGCCTTGTCAGAGCTGGGACCACAATAAGAAGAATAGGACTTCCCCAGCCAGCCTTGGAGGAAGACCTTCCCGATGCCCGCCCCGTGATCCGACCTGAGAACTGCGAATTTGGAACCGGGGGACGTGGTCCCTCTCCACGCTGCCGGCGAACCGTGCCCCCGTTGGAAGCTGGAAGTGCAGGTTGCAGGTTTTTAAACGGCAGCAGTTGCGATTCCTTTGATGAGCAGGCATCTCGGAGGGGAAGAGCCTTCTAATTCCGTATTTCCTAGCCCTGGTGTTTTTGTTCGTTTGTTTTGTTTTCCCCTCTCTTTGGACAGGGGTAGTTCGTGGGTACTCGTCTTTGAGGGTGCATTGTCTGTGAGTCGGGTTTTGTTGTCGTGTGTCCCTTAAAAGAATAAAAAGGACTGTATTTCTGCTAACGCGGGCCACTCCAAACTCAAAACTCTAGCCACTGATTTACAAGCATCATGTGCAAAATCCTTAACTTACATAGTCAAAACCTCTGATGAAACTTCCCGTGGCATCTACAGCCGCTACTATCACTATTTTATTGTTCAAAAAGCTCATTTGTTTTGTGCCTTTTAAAAACACTCAGCTCTGCCCCGCTCCCCGCAAAATTGTGTTTGATCCAGGCTCTTGATAAGTGCATGTTGCAGGAAACATTAGAGGGAAATGGTTTCACCATACATTTTTGAAGAAACTAACTTAATGGCTAAAGATAAAAACTAGTATGTTGTTAATGTTCGTTTAATCCTTTTTCCCACTTCATCAGTGAACATATGTAGTTAACCTACACCTTTACCCTTGTTTTAAAATCTGGCTACCTTCTTACGGTTATGTTTGTTAGGCTTATATGTAAATCAGTGAAAAGGAAACTTTCACAGTACACATTGACATACCTTATTTTCCCCCTCCGTGCATAGTGTTTGCTCAAGAATTTTGACTTAGCACTTTGGGGATCCAGATAAGTTTAAGTAATGGTAGTCAAAAACGGTTTCTCAACCTTGACACTATTGACATTTTGGAGTAGATAATTATTATAGGGAGTTGTCCTGTGCTTAAATTTTATGGGATGTTTAACAGCATCCCTGACCTCTAGCCACTAGATGCCAGTAGGATATCCCCACGCCTGCCCATTTATAGAGGAAAAATGTTTCTATATATTGTTAAAATGTCCCCTGGAGGGCAAAATCATCCCCAGTTAAGAAAACCTTCAAAAAAACAGTATGATTTTCTAATGGAATAGTTTGCTCCAAATTGTATCTTTTCTTCCCAAACAAGCTGCTCTGTTTGCCTACTTTTCTTTTAATGGACAAAAACTCATTGTTTTTTTATCCTTAAGATCTTTTTTTGTTATTCACATTCCATTTTCACTGGCACTAATCCTAACAATATGCCTCCCCTTCTGTTTTGGACTTCTGGGATGGCTTCCCATATACTCTTCCTTGAAATTCGTCATATTTATAGTTGTTACAGATCTTCTAAAAGCATTCACGTTATACCACCTGTTCTGAAAGTTGAAATAATTGTGTACTTGTTGACTACAAAAAAAAAGGAATCCTAACCACACTTACTACTCTTGATTTTGTCATTTAGCATCATATAACATTTATATATACATGTTTATCTCATGTGAACAATTTTTTTATTTATTCTTGATTATTATTTTTTTTTATTTATTCTTGATTCTGTTGTACCTACTTTCCTTCTTAAGCTCCTCTCGTTGACCCCTTTTCTTCATAGTATTTTTCAGCAAATCTTGGGTGCCTAATACGGTCTGAACACGGTGTCAGTTTCTAAGCATACAGAGAAGTTTTGGCCCTTTAGTATGCATATACTTGTTTTTCACCCTGAAACACATACACCAAAACGTTCTTGAACCCTACCTCATATTCTGTGTGATGCTCTATGTCATCCTTTCACAAGTCAGATTTATTCATAAAACAATTTTACTTGTTCTTCACCTCCCTCTCATTTTTCAGCATTACTGCATTCTAACCTTTGCACCTCATTACTCTTATAGCTGGGTACTCAGCTATAGCTAATGTCTTTCTGGAATTATTAAAAATATTCTACAGACCAAAATACATAAAAGTGTTGTTCAGTGTCAGTTTGGCTTTTGTCATACGATGTGCTGTGTGGAACTGATTTTAATGTGCCTTTCCTTCTTGGTCCCTTGACATTTGCCTTATACTTGAGGCCTACCAGATGTGAAGTTTCTCCAGATGCTCTTAAGTATTCTGCTTTCATCTTCCTAATACCCTTGTATTCAAGGCTCAAGTCAGACATCCTCTCTGCAACCTCTTCCAGCAACTGCAGTTAGTACTTTCTCAAATGTTATATTGTAATAGCTGTGGGTTGTGTTTTGTTTGGTAAAATGTGCCTTATTTGTGGATTTATTGCACACTGTTTTGCCCAAGTGCAGTCAAAAAAACTTTCCATTTTGCACATTATACAGCTCGGTTGATGTCAGGGAAGCTCTTAAGTCAGTCCTGCATTATCGTCAGTTGAGTTTAAACTCTGCAACAGCAGTCACTGCGGAACCATATACCCACGGATACTAAGGGTCTACTATACAAAACATTTTAGCTGTTTTTAAATGTAGATTTCTATGGTATTAAGTACATTCACATTGTTCTGCACCTGTTACCATTGTCCGCCTCTAGAACTTTTTCTTCCCAAACTGAAATTTACTTTTTTTCCTGTTCATTTTTCTTAATCTGGGATTAATCTTCACAAGTTCTGGGACCCTCCAAAACTATCCATAAAAGTTCATGTGCAGAAAGGGGCATTGTGATGGATGAAGGTTCAGAATTTTCTTCAGTTTCCTAAATCAGTTTGTTACTTTAAGTATGAGTCAGCATGCGTTCAGGAAAAAATAGAAATCAGTGTGAGCATTTAACATTGTAAGATTTAACGAGGATTTTTCTGATGATAGAAAAGCTGAGAAGCTCAACAGCTCACTTGAGGCAACTCAGATTAGCACAGTGAGAAGCTACTGTACTAATGAGACTAGGAGAGGTAAAGCAGCCCAGGCAACTGTGTGGAATATGGACCTAAGACTTGTCTCAGCTTTAGTTATAGTGGAGATTACACTCAGGCAACGTTAGAATGTCACTTCTCACTAGGCCTGGTTCCTCAAGCCTTTAATCTTAGGAAGCAGAGATCAGGAGGATCATGGTTGAAAGCTAGCCTGGGCGAAAAGTTTGTGCGACATCAATCTCAACTCATGGCTGGGCACAGTGTCACACGCCTGTCCTCAACTGTGCAGGGAAGTACAAATAGGAGGATTGAGGGTCAGGCCCGCCTGCAAATAAAGCGAGACCCTCTTCAAAAGACACACACACACAAAGAATGTGGCTTCTTCCTTCTGCCTCCAGAGCTTCCCATTAGCAATCCTAGACAGATGCTAGCTGACATGCAAGCCTGGGAAGACTTGCATGTTTGGGGTCAGTCTTCCTGATAATTATTTACATTTTTCCAGGACATTAGTATTCCTGGGAATTCATAACATGTGAAGGACATATTTTCACAGTGGAAGCATTACTGTCTCTTGATCTCTTCAGGCTCCTCTCTTTATCTTTCCCTCTTTACAAATGGGAAGAAGAGCGGTCAAACCCGAGGGATCCTGATTTCTGAAAATTCAGGTAACCTTGGTATAGTAGGATTTTATCTTTCTATTGCCTGTTTGAAAATTGGTTACTTGATAAATAAGCATTTTTGTAGGCACATAACTGATTGAGCGTATATACAATGACAACGAACATAGACATTTTCAAATATTTCCTACATTATTTTTTATCCTTCTAGGACAAAATTAAACCAAATGACCATATGTTTCTGGGGAAAAAGTTAACTATTCACTGCATTCTAAGATACTGCTTCTCAGCCTGTTCTTCACTGTCATACACTACTTAAGGAATCTTTTTAGATTTTTTTTTTTCCTGATCCCTCTTCCCACGTGAAATTTTAGTGTCACAAATGTATATTATATATACACAAATGTGCCTGTGATTTATGTATAAAAATGAGAGTTTTTAAAATTCTTCCTTCTCTCCAGAGCCAGTTTGCACCCCGTTAGTATGATCTCACTCTTGGAGAACACATGGTCTCGGGAAAGAAAATTTATAGGGAATTAGATTTCATATGACCACCTGTTGGAACTCCCAAGTGACTTGAGTACATTTAGGGTGATTTGCACTATTGGAACTTTGTACCATGAAAAGACACTCTTGGGGCAATTCAGTCTAAATATTGAAGAATGAAGACAAAGTTCCAAAGTGATTCTGGTGGTTTGTACATGTTTTAAATTTCTATGTTCACAAAATCCTAGTAGCAGCTTATGCATTTATTTCAAATAATGTAATTCAGAATGCCAACCATAATTTAAAAAATGATTTCTTTTTAGCTTTTTCCTCACAAATTTTTTACAAACAAAAAAGGAAGGAAAAACAGCAGTCTATCTTTAATGTAATTTCCCATCTTCACTGTGATCTTCCATGGTGGGAGTAGTAAAGTAGTACTTTATTAACGTAAATCTGAAATAAAGATTTCTTCAAGTTTCTAAATGTTTTTACAAGCTCTGAAGCACTGGATTATTTTTTTATTTCTGTATTTTGTTGTTTCTTCTTACCACATTAGATAGCATAAAGTTGTAAAACTGATTC